CCCCTCTCGCTCAACCCTCCCATCTCTCCTAAGAAGCCGAGCCAAGCATTCCCACAGACCCAGACAGCTATTAGAGAAATATTATTACCAGATGGTTTGTTTTTTCCATAGGACCAGAGGCCAGCGTGAGGTAATGGGAAAAATATTAACCCACCCCACACCAGTCTGGGCGTGGGGATAACGGCTTTGCTGGCAGAGCTGTGCTGTGTCTCGGCTGGACTGGCACACAAGGGGTCTGCAGAGCGGGGTGGTGGGGTGCTCTCGCACCCCTTGTGTGCCAGATCGGCAGGGTGGCTGGAAACCCCCCGATAGACTGGTAGTGGCCCTGTGGGGTGGCCTGGGAAGGCTTTGATGGAGGCTCCCCATTTGGGAAGGGTCTGTCCCCAAATGGTGCTGGGAGGGAGGGAGAGAGGGAGGGAAGGGTCCCCCCGGAGTGTCTGGAATCTATCTGGTAGGAGCAAAACGCAGCTGGCAAACCGTGCGGAGGAGAAGTTCGCGCCGGGTCAGACGCGTCAGCGATGCCAGTGGAGGAGAAGCGCCGCGTCCTGGCTGTCCTGCCTCTTGCAGGGTCTGTGCAAGCGTTAGGCAGCAAGGCTAGAGTAGGGATGTCAAGGTAGATGGTGCGTGGCACGGGTGGGCTCTTCTGCAGGGCCTTTTGGTGGGTGCGGCGGACGAGCGCGAGACCCTCCTCCAGTGCCGCTGAGCCCACTCTGTGCCCGCGGTAGGATGCTCGCGGGGCATCTGCCTAGGCAGAGCAGCTGCTGCTGTGCTGGGAGACGTAATGCTTTCATGGCTCAGAGGGGTTTCTCTGCCCCTGCCTCCTGCAGGGATCCACTGCAAGAAGCTAAATTATCATGTGCAGAAATGCTTCAAGCCGCGCTCTTTCCAGCAGGGTTTGTGGTTGGCACAGCGCTTGGCTCGGACCGCCACTGCTGCTGTCACGCAGGACTGAGCGCAGAGACAGGGCGGACAGAGGGAATGTGGCCGAACCCATCTGTCTTGGTGGGCCATGGTCCTACAGCCAGCCCAGGGAGACACAGACTGTGGTAACCAGAGCACAGGGAAACCTCTCCTAGCAAACGCCTTCGCCATCCCAAACGCTTTGCAAGTCATGGGTGCTTCGGTGCCCAGGATTGGGGGGAAGGTGATGCAGCCCGCTGCCAGGACACCAGTGTGCTTCATGTGGTTGCAACCAGGGAAATTTCAGTACTCATTAATCATGGCATCTCCTGGGACCGTGTGAGGGGACAAACTAGCTCCAGCTGCAGAGGACAGAGCCAGAAACCTGGCACTCAGTCCTTCCCTGATTTCCAAAGCACCCTTTGGTTATGAGTGTGCTGGCGGGTTCGATCCTGGCTTTTCCCAGGGGATTTCATTTCAGCTCATTTCTGTATTTCTTATGGAAAGGGTGTTTTCCATTTCTAAGCGGACTTGATTAAAGGGAAGGAAAGGTTGTGTGAAAGAGTTAATAGCAGAAAAATGGAGCAAACTCATTCTTCTCTCAATCTCTGGGAGTAGAAAAAGCAAAAATTCCATCTCAAGTGCACTTTTTTCTGCACCCAGTTTGGTCTGTAATTAGACTAAAAGTTTATTGCTTGCTGTGCAACACAGTGCTGTGGGCTGGGACTTGAGACGGGGAGCGCTTGTCCCCCCTGGGGCATGCAGGCACCATGGAGGGGCTCCTCCTGCCCATCTGGGTGACACCGGAGCGATGCTGGCCCCACCAAGGTAGGTGGAGGGTGTTCCCTGCTCCTGGGGGACCTGGTGTGGCAGAGCCGTAGGGCTCAGCTTCCCTCACCTCGTCTGAAGAAGGGAAAGATGACATCCTTCGCAGGCATGCTCCCCTAGATTTCGGGACACGATGGCATGCTGCTAGGCCCAATGATTGCGACACCCCTGGGCTCAGCCTGCAGACTGCTACCCAGCTATCAGCTGAATTTCTGCAAAACCAGCCTGCGCTTTTCTAAAGAAACAGCCGTTCAGTGCGCCTTGGGATCGCTGCTGGCTGCTGGCCCAGGTTTAGCACCGCCGACCTGGAAAAGATAAACCTTTAAAATGCTTTTGAAGCTGGACACATATCCAAGCCCATGGTCCAGTCAGAGGGCAGAGAGGATGCACCTGGGACGTCGCGCCTGATAACAGCCCCTGGGGCCGGCGGGTGGGTGCCGGACGGGGAGCGGGAACCCCAGCAGGGTGGGGGAAGCCCTGCCTTGCCTGGCCCCCCTGCCAGGGTGCGTGGGGTCTGACGGGCTGCAGCGGCGTGGGGCCATATACGGTCAGCAGGCGCCTCGCACAGGCCATACCATTATCATTAAGTCTTTGCTGGCGCAACTGACTGGCCTCCAGCTCCCGAGGCGAGGCGCTGCGGGGCAGCTGGGCTGTTCCCAGGATGGATGTGCTTTTCCCTTCCTGCAGGGAGGTGGAGGATCGGCTCTTCTGCTGTTCGCGATAATTCCCTAGGAGGGAAGGAGAGAGAGGAAGAGATAAAGCAAAGAGGAAATTTCCCTGGTGTACGGGGTCGCAGGCTGTCTCAGCTGAGCTGATCCATGAAGATAGATCCTTTTGCAGTATCTATCTCACTTCCTGGGACCCTCTAGCTGGTTTTCAAAATGCTAGGTGAGCTCCCTCGTGGGAGCCCCCAGGAGGTGTGCTGGAGAGCCAAATCAGGTCTGATCCCCGTGAAATGCAGCAGGATTTGTCCCTGGTCACGGTTGCTCACTAGGAGACCGTCTTCAGTAGGTTTGAGATACCTTGAAAATCTGCCTTTCGGTGTCCTCACCTCCTGGTGCCACCTGCACAGCTCTGCAAAGCTCACTGTGCCCAGGTGGTTATTTACACCAGTAAGATTCTCACTGATGCTAAAGCTTTACAGCTGGACGAAAAATACTTTCTTCAGCACAACAGAAGCCTGGCTCTTTTGAGGTTGGGGTGTCCCTCCCTGTTCTCTCCTCCTCCCCAACACACACAGAGTTTTGTCTCACATTTTGGTGTCACCTTCTCATCCTGCCCAGCCTTCCTCCAAGTAGCAGTCCTGCTGGTCTGGCTGCCCTTCAACCAAAGCATGTGGCAGCCCAAGGCTCCTCAAAGACCTAGAGAAGCTGCAGGGGTGCCCAGCAGCAGTCCTGACTCTCCTTGAGACCACCAGTTTCTCCTCTGTTTTAACATCAGCTTCCGCAGATGCACCTAAATTCATGTTGGCATGAAAAGCAGCAACCGTTGTGCTGTTGGGTTGACGAGGCTTCAGTTTAGCACAGTCTACATTTGTTTTCCACTGACTTTGGATGTTGTTTATCCAAAGAGTCGTCATTTGATGCATCTGCCTCGATGATGTGGTCAGGCTCGTCCACTGATGTAATTTGTAATCAGTGGAGCTACAGCTTTTTTTTTTCCTAGTGCTAACTAAAAAATCTCAACTTGAGACAACTTCCTACAGCCAAACCTACCATGTTTTGTCCTGATCATTCGCATAAAGAAGCTGCCAGAGTGGTTGTGCGTGAATGGCAGGGGGATGGAGGCAGCAGCCAGCCCTGCCTGTCCCCACAAAGCAGCGTGGCAGGTCTCCTGCTGCCTTTGTGCAACCAACTTGTGCGTGAACCACTTGTGCTGGCCGAGTTCACGCTGTCGGCTCTGCCCCTTGGAGCCGTCCTGGTCCTGTGCGCTCCCGCAGGATGCTCTGCCTGGCCCACATCAAGCCCCTCTCTGGGTTTCATTTCATCTTTCAAAGGCAAGGTGCCTCTTTGGCCTGGGCAGCCCATCAGTTTGCTATTTAATGACAACCTTTGGTCTCCTTGTGTGCTTGTGGGAGCAGGTTGCAGCTCAAGCAGGATCAGCTCTCGGGTATTTCGCCGTTCTCCCTGGTGACAATTAACACTCTCACTGTGACGAGGGGTTGGCAGTACCTGCTTCTGGGTCTGACTTAAGCAGCATGGGACTCATCTCCAGTGCTGGCCATGGAGAGCAGATGATCTGCAAGGCCTTGGGAGCACCTTGCTGGGAGGGTCCAGCTCCCCACTGCTGCAGGTCCTTAGGCTCTGCTGCCATCCTATAGGATGGGAAGATCACAGAATCATAGAAGGGTTTGGGTTGGAAGCGACCTCAAAGATCATCTAGTTCCAACCCCCCTGCCATGAGCAGGGACACCCTCCACTACACAAGGTTGCTCAAAGATGCTCATTTCCAGACATCCCTAAGGGCTGGGGTCCCAATTCTATCTTCTGGGCTTGACAGCTTTGATCTATCCACACTCCCTGCCCTGAGCACAGCCTGGGGGTGTTGTTCCCAGTCTGTGGGGTCCCTCTGGGTTTTTTTTGAGCTTGCTCCTCAAGTTCCTGACTGGGTTGATTAGAAAGCCCTGAAAGTCAGAGGAAGGTGCTTCTCTAAAAATGTGGTACCTCTACAATGCCTCCATCCCTGGGTGGCCATGGGACAGCACCAGCTCTGCCGTGTGGTGGGGACTCCGCTGGTTAACAGGACAAGGCAGGCCAGCTCTTATGCAGGTGGAGATGTCATGGGAATGCCTGTCTCCCTGCCCCAGCTTTCTTGGCCCAGGAGCTGGGGGGGAGCAGTCTGGCAGGTCTGGCAGGTGCCCTGAGCCCCCCTGCCCCACGGAGCAGGCTGACCCCCTAAGGGGAATGCTGCTATTGAGCACTGACCATGCCGGGGCTCGCGCCATGAGGCTCATGGAGATCCTAGGCACCAGTAGCCAGGGTGCCATGGCAGGTTCAACGACATCCAGAAGAAGAGTAAGGAGAAATTCCTCATTCGTTTCTGACTCACAGCTGACAGCCCCTGATCCCTCCCTCCCTCCTCCTCAGGCTGGAGAAGTCTCCTCCTCACCCTTACCCTCCTGCCTGTGCTTCCTCCCACTGGAACCAAGGGAAAAGCCGTAAAAAAATCTCTTCAGCGACTCCTGCCTCCAAACCGCGGCCTTTCTCAGCTGCCGGGTTCTCCTTCCCTGCTTTTTCTCTGATCCAGCTCAATGGTAATCTGAACCACGTACAATGAGGCTGCGAGACTTTCTGCTCACTGTGCTGCTCCAGGCCAGCTTCCTGGGGAGGGGCGCGTGGGCTCAGCGTCAAGATATCACCACCAGGGTCGCCAATGCAGAAGGTAAGCACGGGCTGCTTCCCAGGGTCTTTTTCCTCCCTGGGATCAGCAGAGAAGTCCAGCTGCTGCTCACGGCCACAGCTTTGTTGGGACGTTTGGGAGGAGAGTTTTGTTTGCCGAGGAGAGTGATTTGGGATTAGAGAGGATCTGCAAGACATATACCCACTTTTGATGTTTTTCTGGCTCTTTCTCCTCAGCTCTGTCTTGTCAGGTGTTATCAGTAGCACCGGGATGCAGGAGTGGGGGATAACAGCTGATACCAGTTTAGCTTTCTAAAAGATTTTTATTTTGAAACTGGCTGTTAAGGTGCCTTTGCTCTCCTCTGGAACGATATTTGTGCCAGGGCGCGACAGAAAACCATTAGTTTTTTATTCTGTTACTAATTTCTATCATGTCTTGGTTTTCCTTTTTCACGTGGTTGCTGTGGCTGCACATTATATTGTATAACAACTGATGTTGGTCTGGCAAAGTCATCCTTCGAATCTAAATGGGAAAAAAAAATGCATGGCTGTGAAATGCCACAAAGCATTGCTTTCTGAATATGCGTTTGGTCAGGCTTACCCTTCATGCCGAAACAGAAACGGGCGACCTCACCCGTGCGTGTGTGCCTGCGTGTCTCGCGTGGGGCTAGGACGTGAAAGCGGTTCCCCCAGCGCGGGTCCTGGGAGCCTGCTGGGAGGGGAGCCAGGCTGCAGGCGCTTGTGTTGTGGGGGGAGCCTGGGGTTTTGGGGCGATGCAGTGGGGCCACCTGCTGACTCCTGCCTCTCCGCTTCCTCCCAGACTGCCCCGTGGACCTGTTCTTTGTCCTGGACACCTCAGAGAGCGTCGCCCTGAGGGTGAAGCCCTTTGGGGACCTGGTTGCCCAAGTGAAAGATTTCACCAACCGGTTCATTGATAAGCTGACAAACAGGTACATCTGCCGGGCGTTCGTCCAGGATGCTTTAGGGATGGAGCCTGGGGCTGGGCGGGATGCTGAGACCTTCCTGTGTGCCCAGCCACGGAGGGAACTGAGGAAAGTCAGGATGCCAGGGAGGGGGGTGGGAGTGTCTCCTCCCTCTTCCGGTCCGCAGCCACCCCGTTTCTGGTCCCTCCATGCAGAGGGCAGCAGCGTGCCTTTAGCAGGGCCGCCCCCCAGAAAGCAAGGGCTTCCTGGAGCGGTAGACACGGCACTTCAGCCCCACCGCCTCCGGCTGGCTTGTCTTGCCGGGTGGTTGTTCTGTAAGGCCAAAGCAATGCCGATTCCCATGCCACCGGCTGCTCAGACCTGGGACAACCCAGCTGCTTGGGTGGCACCAGGGCACCTCTGACATTAAACCCAGCACTCAAGGGTGTCCTGCAGAGTAAACCCCCCTTGTAACTGGCACCTCCCAGGCCACCTTGTGACATTGAACCCAACTTTGGGGGCCCCTTATCCACCCTACTGCTCAGCTCTTTATCTACGTCCTCTTCACTCACCCTTGCAGCCACCAACCCAGGTCTGACCCTGACTTTCTCAGGGTGAGGGCACCCAGGGGCACCAAAGCTCCCAGATCCCAAATGGGTGCAATGCTGGGAACGGCTGCAGGCAACGGCCATGGCTTGACTGCAGGCAGGAGATCCAAGCATGCACAGGTGCACCATGAGTCCTGGAGGCACGTGGGTCCTGGAGAACCCCTTGGGACAGCAGATGTGTGCTGGTGCCCAGAGGAGCACCATGGGGATGTCCCAGTGCTGCACGAGCTGCAGGGGCAAGGTCCCCATCTCAAGACAGGTGGAAGGGGGCCAGCAGATCACCTGCAATTGCCCAGGCAGGAGAGCTACCCTACAAAGCATCAAGTGACCAAGAGCCTTGTGCTTGCGAACAACCTGCCAGACCTCCATCAACACAACATGACTGTGTCCCAAGCAAGGCACTGGACCTTGTTCAGAGCCCCTGCTATGTGTAGACAGATGGCTGGACCTCCTGAGCCCATCCCAAACACCCCTTTGGCTGCCTTGGAATTCCATCTGCTCCAGAGACATCTCCCTGGAAGCCACCACTGTGCACCCCGTGCTGTCAGACACCCAGTGTGTGGTCAGCATGGGTGATAGCGAGGCAGCTGGCAGCGGTGGGATGGAGGGGACAGCAGTGGGCAATGCTCAGGTGGCTTTGGAAAGGGTCCTGCTGGACAAAGAGAAGACAGGAGCAGTGAGGGATCTGTGCAACCCCATCCCTTTGGGATTGGCCTTAGCATCCTGAAAAGATCCTTTTTGAGGCACTGGGTATAGCATGAGGAGCCGCGATGCCTCTGTCCCAGAGAGTGGTGGGCACATGCTGTGTCAGCACACAGGACAGGGCTTCAATACACACACTCACCTGTCTCCAAGTCAGAGCACCCTTTGGAAGCAGGCATCCCTCTTTGAATTTAACATGTTCAACAGTGGAAAATGCACTGCAGTCCTGGGTGAGGTGTTTCGGCAGTAACCTGCCCCGCATGTGTGCACCTGTCTGTCTGGCTCAGCATCTCCGGTTCAGCTCCACCCACTGCAGCCTGGTACCTCTTTGGGAAGCTGTCATGGTTTAACCCAGCCGGCAATGAAACGCCACGCAGCCCCTCGCTCACCTTCCCCCGCCCCTGAGAACGAGGAAGAGAATTGAGAGGGAAAAGGGAAGGAGTCTCATGGGTTGAGATAAGGACAATTTAATAATAAAAATAATATAAAATGAAAAGCAATAATGATAATGATAATAATGATTATGATAATAATGATAATGATAATAATAAAATGAATGTATATATATTCATACAACAGGCTAAGGGGTAACATAACCAGGACAAAGGGTCCACAACTCCCCTTATGATTTGAACTTAGACATAGGACTGAGGGATAAACTGGCCAACTGCAACAGAAGCCTCTCTGCCGAACCGTCTGACCCTTGTGGACGCCCACCAGCTGCACATCTTTGCTCTTCCACCTTTGAACAGACTGTTCTGCTCCCATGGCTGGCTTTGCAAGTGAAGCACGTCCCAGCCTTGCAGGAGAGCTGGGAGCCCTAGGAAATCCCTGCAACTTTTGGCAGGGGATCTGCATTTTGCGTGGTGGGCTGATGCGAGCAAAGTGGAGGTGGTGGGGGGGTGTGGACAAAGGTGCTGAAAGTGCATGTTCCGCTTTGTCCTTGCAGGTATTACCGCTGCGACCGCAACCTGGTGTGGAATGCCGGGGCACTGCACTACAGCGATGAGGTCGTGCTCATCAAGAGCCTCACCTCGATGCCCAGAGGCCGGAACGAGCTGAAGAACAGTGTCTCGTCGGTGAACTACATCGGGAAGGGCACCTACACTGACTGTGCGATAAAGCGGGGCATCGAGGAGCTGCTCATCAGGTAAGGTAGTGGGGCTGGGGTGGGCAGAGGGGGCGATGCTGGTGGCATGGCCATGGTGGATGGATGCTGGGAGCTTCTGGGGTAGGACATCCTTGTGCATTGTGCAGAGCAGTCCCCAGGGTGGGAGAGGAGGTCACTTAGGCACGAAATAGTCATGGGGGTGGCAGATTGGTAGTGCTCTGGCTTTGCAGGGATGAGGCATGCCCTGACTATAGGTTGGGGCACTGCCTGGGGTGAGTGTCCAGAGGTGCCCAAGCCAGATAAATCTTTTAAATCCTTGCGACGTTAAATCCTGTGTTTAAACCCTTGCAGTGGCTCCCATCACAAGGAGAATAAATACCTAATCGTGGTGACTGATGGACACCCTTTGGAAGGCTACAAGGAGCCCTGTGGAGGCCTGGACGATGCTGCCAATGAAGCCAAACATTTGGGGATCAAAGTGTTCTCCGTCGCCATCTCCCCCAACCACCTGGTAGGGACCAGGCAGCAGGGATGCCTCCTGCAGGGTTTCCAAGTGGGACCACAGGATCCTCGGCCTGGCAAAGGAGGCTCTGAGTGCCCCCTAGAGCCCCTCCTTGGAGGGAGGATGCAGGGCCCCAGGGTGGTCTCTGGAGATGGGTCTTGCACAGGTGCCCACAGGTCACACTCTGCTCTCCTCACTCTCCCAACCCTAGGACCAGCGGCTCAACATCATTGCCACAGACCATGCCTACCGCCGCAACTTCACCGCCACCAGCCTGAAGCCGACCCGGGAGCTCGACGTGGAGGAAACTATCGACACCATCATCGACATGATTGTGAGCATCGCCCAACCTCTGCTCAGCCTGCCCCCTCCCCTCCGGGCTCACCTATCCCTCTCAAACCCCCTCTCTTTGCTTTCTTGTCTTGCAGAAAGCCAACACAGAGCAATCGGTGAGTGTCCTCCAGAGCCCAGCTCCCCCCAACCCTGTGCCTGAGCCCGTCCCCTGTGGGTC